AATATATCTGACGTGAAGCGGGAATGTCTACAAAATTGAAGGATATTATTTCAAAAGCATGAATGCTGGCTTTCCTAGAAACGATTCATATTCTTTCAGTTCATTCTCGTCATCCACAGTGTGGATATTTCGAAATGGCTCACTCTTAACTAGAGTTTGATTAAGCTTCAAACAGCCAGATATCAGTAATTGTGAAAATGCTTGTAAACGTGATGTTGAGCCTGAAGAGAACAGGTAAGTTATAAGTGCTTTTCTCCAGTCAGACCCAAAAATGCTACACCTAAATGAGTTGCTTTGATGCTTTTTCATTGAAGATGGACTGTGTGATGGAAAACAGAGCTTCCGTTGTGACCTGTTCAGTAGTACCCTTCACCTTATCATTATGTCGATGGATGACTTAACAGAATATCTCCTCATTCAAGTCATTACATGCTGGTCGGCGATTCAGTAGTATGATACTCAAAATCCACACAAGTGTTCCAGAGTTTGGTTCTCGATCTATGTACTTCTTAACTTCTCTTGGTTATTAAATCAGTAGGAATTATCAAAAAGGGGAAAGGTTGAGAGTGAGGCTAGCAATCTCACACCGCAGTAATGACATCAGCACTATGGAGACCTCGCAGCTTGAAACTGTTATTTCCACTCAGAAAGCGAGTAATGAGAAAAGTCATTTCATACAAAAGCCGAGCGGCATTTCGAGGCTACATTGTTTATACCTTTTTTCATATTCGCGATTTAGTAAACAAAACTAAGCGTTTTCTGCTTCATGGATGTTTCACCGTTTGTATGGGAACAGGGCTTTCTTATAAATGCTGACATTTTCACTGATAACTGTTTCCAATGCAGGCCTTTTGTGCATTGACACATACTTTATTGCTTATAGAAAGCTATTCTATGAAATTAGTTCTGTGTCAGTCAGGTTTTCTGGAAAGCTACAACTGTGAAACTTCATTTCTTGGCTGTGTAAATTTCAAACATGTGTCAAATATCCAGATCTCAGAGATCCTGGACCTGTCGCTAGTTTCAGAAGGCTAAGGCTAATGCACTGAACATTATGCACTGTAACTGACTCAGAACAACAGAAAGAGGTTGTGAAACACGATTATTTATTCTTCAAGCGATAACGAAACAGATTGACAGTGGTTAATCAGTGCCGAGTTCTCTAGATAAACGTCAGTACAATGTACAACAATACTTCTGATCGCAGTTCTCCAGTCTTCTGACAACCAGTACACGATTAATCAATGGTAGCCTCCTTGTCTCCTTCCAATGGAGACCAGTTCGAATAAACAACCTATTCAATGTTCACTAGCACTGACATACGTTTTCATTTTATTCCAAGTAAGTATGTTAGTATAAAAATTCACGTACTGCAAAGTCCAGCATTAAAAGAACTTCATCAGAAACTCACCATCAGCCAGTGTTCCTAACATTTTTGGAAATAGACAATACTGTTTCACTTGTTGAAATTATCCGGTTATAAGGTGGCCATGATTTGAAGAATTTGTGATTTGTATCTTAGTTTCCGCCAGTGAGGACGTCATGGTTGACTCACACTGGACTATGATAAACGAATTCTTGTTCCATAAAGACTGATTGAAAAGGATTCAGCCTCTAGGACTTGACTCAACATTGCTAGAACTCTACGACTGTGACAGAAAAGGTAGTTTCGAAAATGACTGCCACCTCAAAGACTGATGGTTTCATTGACAGTTTGTTGAATACGTTGGTTAATAGCCGCCAACTCAAAATACTCTCACAGTTGTAAGGATGTACAATAACGCACCTATGCTTGACCGCGTTGGGTTTATCATCCATTCTCGACACCTTTCCACAACTTTATCGGATACCTTTTATTAACAAGATGCATCACTTTACAGATGAAAATAATAATGTCTTCTGGAATCAGGAATATCTAGATGTCTACAGACTATCGGAAATGCAAAGAAATATCAGTCGTAACACAGTGAGAAACTCTTGATTACTGCATTATACCAATCTATGATGGATCTGTACTGTACTATCACCAGAGTTTACATACAATCCACCAGTAAATTGAAGAAGTTCTACAAATACTCTGAATATTAATCAGTTAGTATATGGAGTTCACTCTGGTGTATTTCATGCAATTTACTTCAACAACTTTGACGGCAGAGTCTAATCAGGGATTTCGTTTACTGTAGTTGTAAAAGTGCAATTGTGAACAGTTAGTTACACTAACATATGCAATAGTTTGACACGTAGAAAACGCATCACTGCATAAACTCTAATATGACCGTGCTATAACAAATGGTGAATAATTGTAGAGACAGGGTTGTGTCATAAGAAAGACGATTTAATTAACGCAGTTTTGCTAATATGAGCATGGCAGCTGGTGAGAATTACATCGTGTGAAGAAAGTAGATGGACATACTGTAGCAGGAGAGAATACAAACCAGAAAAGGATTAGAGTTTAGGATATTTTTTCCATTCAAAAATCTCAGGTGTATTACTTATTTGCACGACGTCGGGAGATATATTATGATGCCGTATATAGTCCTACTTTTGGACGTTTTCGCATGACTCTTCTATCTAATAATCTATCAGGGAATCAAATTTCTAATTATTTAAAACAGCTCAACTCCATAACAGACTCATTCTGGGAGTAGTACATACCTTGAAGACATATAAATATATATATATATATATATACATAAATAGTGCATTTAACTTACTGTTTGCATCGCAGAATGATTTGAAACCCATCTCACCTAGAATGAAAATAATGCTTAGTGATGATACTTTTGACAAGGGATCTTTTGTATCAAAACTACCACAACAATGTCACACTACTAAGATTATTCCATACAGCACACACAGAAAGTTTATTGACACAACGATTTCGGGGAGTGTGCATTATTCTCTTGGTGTAGTTTACTTTGAGATTTTCAGTAACCTACATTACCTGGAATTATTTGTGTTCTCTGCTCTGGTTGGTTTGACTGCGAAGCACACAGACGAAATACTCAACTGTAGTAGTGATAAGCCAATCACCCACAAAATAATTTGTGTACAGACATTGTTTCAAAGAGTTCAAACACACTGTAGCACTCCAGTGTTGAAGAGAATGGAGGGAAAATACCTAGCTAATAACCGTCTTCGAAAAAAATGCATATCCTCACAGTTTCATCGAAAAGTGTTTCAAATCTAGTCACAACACCAGTAAGAAACCATCATCATAGATAACAAGTAAATTCACCCTACCATATATAAAAAATATCTCTAAAATAACAGCTAGAATATTGAAACCTTTTGAAGTAGACATAGCACAGAAGCCAGCCGGCCAGCCAGCACAATCACTTCATCCGATATGTAACAGACATTACACCGGTCAAAGTCGGTATCCCCTTTTAATCCAAATGCAAGAACACAAATTAGCTGCAAAATAGCGTGATATATATTCTTGAATGTAGATAATTATGGACACAAATCTGGTGACTGAGATAATGTAGAAATCTTAGAGGAAACACAAAAATTGCAGTCAGGGAATTTCGAGAATCGTGATACTCAAGTGAATCAGCCAGCGATTAACAAATATACTGCAGTTGACCAAATTTACCAGCTAATAAGTGTGAACCACATAATAAGAGAGTTTGAATCCCAAGTCAATAAAAATGATCCGTAGAGATGTTAATAAACGACCAGTCACGAAGATGGTTTCCATTCCTGATGAACACACCTACTCAGTGATAAAAACGTGGATATCTAGTAACAGATGATGAGAAATTCTCAAAATTATTTGTGGTATGGTGACGCTTGCTTTACGTAGAGCTTTTACCATTCGTTTTTGGAGAATATATATTTAATAATATTATGTACATGATTTGGAAATCCATGTCTGAATTCCCCTTCAATCAGATACTTTCCTCTCAGTTAAAACCTGTTCTCTACTGTAGTACACTTAACAGCAGTTTTGTTTATCATCAGTCTCTTCGATGTATAATTCTCCCATATTGAACAAAGATAAATGCATAAATTTTATGCCCCAAATTACAAGAATAATCAACTCTGCAAATCAAGAAACAATATTTGAATTCACGTTGACTTATTCTTATCAACAGACGTGTCTTTCCTTTACATGAAATAATACAGTCGACCAAGAAGGGTGGTTAAGAGAGATTTGTTATCATAACATCTATTCATTCACAACTTTGCTTGCTCAACCTGATCTATGCATTGAAGGACATTGGGGTACAGACAACTTTGTAAACACTGATTACAAATATGGATATTATGGAAATGAGGGAAGTCAAATCAGAATTAGACGGTTCTTGTAGATAGAGCATTTGAGAAGGGAGAATCAACACCTAGCAGATCGCCATTCTTAAATGAAACAACAAAACTTAGTGTCTGACTGCTTCACCTCTGAGAATCCAACACCATCATTATGTTGTTGGATGGCATAACTTCACATCTTGTGATGCATACAATGGAATAATGATTTTGTGTGATTTGGGTACACTATGAAAATGTGACTTCGTAGAATCGGATGGGATGAATTTTGTCGTTGAATTCATTGTTGTCTACTTACTTTATTATTTTCTTCAATTTCTGCATTATCGACATTTATGTCTGATAGGTCATCACTGACATTATTTGTGTAAATATTGTAAAATGAGTGAGCAATGTTTAGTGATAAGATAGTGGATCGAAGGAGTCTGAGTTACTGCGATATACCTCTGTAGTTGTACCTACTTGAATAAAAAAAAGATTTGTATTCGCATCTACGGTTCACTATCTCAACATTCCAGATTTTGTGTCTATCACTGTGTACAATTCGTAAATTGTGTTTATCTTCACAAAGTCTACCTATAATTAAGAAAATGAAGGTCAGCATAATTACTCACAGAGTAATTAGTATACAGGACTGAATAGTCTAAAGTAGTAAGGCTTTCACTACACTATTATAATTATAATAATAATTATTATTGATCATCTTAAGGAATTTCGGTCTGATTATAATGACTAGCACAAATACAACTAATTCTACTACTACTACTACTACTACTACTACTACTACTACTACTACTACTACAACTACTACTACTACTGCTACTACTACTACTACTAATACTACTACTACTACTTCTACTTCTACTACTTTTGCTATTACTACTACTACAACTTATACTAGAATATTTGTGCTTCACAGCGTAAAAGCGAAAAATATGTTGTAGGCAGTCGAAAGAAGTGTAGCTTGTGTAACTCAAGTTACTCAGATCTTATGAAATACCCACAGAAAACCTTATCACCTGAACTAATGCACACTGGATGATATTGTCTAACCAACGAAATCTCTATTAGGTTATTAGTATGTACTACTCATTATAATAAAGGTTTTTGTATTTCCCAATGAATGAAAAACAAAACGATACTGGGAAATACAAAAGCCTTTATTATAATGAATATCATACACCGAATGCCCAAATTGTTTCAAACTGTTGATAGTGAACTTGGTTTGGACATGTATAGAATGCACTACTGTTGTAAATGTGTAATTTTCACAGATCTTATTTCAGTCATGTGAACCCTCCTAGTTGTGAAGTGATGGTGAAAAAACTACGAAATGATGATATCTTTTGGCGATATATTTCTTCTCAAGGCCTATTTCAAAATCTCTGCACATGTTGATGCATATACACATAAATATTATATGTTCTCTTTGGATTTATGTGGAAGAGTTTATCTACTACCTATGAGTGTATGCATAACAGAGAGGAATTAGGTGTATACTACGATTGGTCATTCATAAACCATTGTGTGACTCAAATCTCATTTCATTTCATGAATGATCCCCATCAAGACACTAACGAGTAAAAGAAAGGCAGTTGAGTGAAGAGACTCTCTTCAGTGAATTCATTCATTAAGCTGTACAGTCGCGTTTATATGCAATGTTTATCTCATGAAATAGGGGATTAACAAAAGTGATGATTTGTCACAACCATAGTTGTTAATATCATACATTGCATAACATGATATATGTAAATATGAAGGTATAATATAAATAATGATCTCGCTTAGTTAACTAGCTCACTATCATTTGTCTTTCCAAGCATTCTGCTTCACTTCTTTGTTCACTGACCTGTAGTTTTTACTCAACTTAGTTTTTTCATAGCTAATATATGCCTTGACCTCGCCTAGTTGACAAACTTCCTAGTTCTCTATCCAGCCCCAAGCCTGGTTATGGAGGGAGGGTTTAGTCTGTTGCTAGCTACCCTACACCACTAAACCTATCAAACTGCTGGAGAAACTTCGAAGCACAGGAAATATGTTAAAAATACAAAAAATTCAAACGGTAATCTTATTCTTGCTGGTGTCGGAGAGGCGAAATGACACAGTAGGCTGGTGAAAGCTAGTCTTCAGGAAGCCAGTCATCCAGCCAATGTGTCTTCTCCCTATGAAAGCAAGAATAAGATTGGGGACGTGGAATGTCCGTTCAATGTACGAGACTGGCTGGGAAGGCTTCACAGTTCATCTTGGAAATGCGAATATACAGTATAGAAATGCTGGGTACTTATCTGAGTGGGCAGATGGAATTGATGTGGATCATCAAAACTGTCAACTGGAGAGTCAGTAATCTACTCTGATCTGGTCAACTAGACAACAACCACGAGCACACGAAGGCAGTGAGTGGCTGCTATGAAGTAACTAGGAGCAGGCAAAGTTCTAATGCAGCGGGAATCAATCTTCTCATCCAGGATCATGACAGCAGGATTCAACTCAATGATCTATTGCTACGGCCAGGGCCACATAAAACGCGGAATCGGTGAAGAACAAGGAAGAATTCTACAGACAACTACAAACAGTAATGGACAAAATCTCAAATGGTGACAACAAAATCCTTATGGGTGATATGAATTACAACCGAACTGGGAGCAGATTATACAGGAAGAGAACTGATCATGGGTTGAGGGGCTCTGGCTTGGTGAAATGAATGAGAATGTGGGATTATTCGCAGACTTCTGTGCTTCCAGTGACTTGGTGATCGGATGTAGCGTGTTTAAGCTCAAGAATATACACAAGGCCAGCGACATGGATTTCTCGTGATGGACACTCTACCAACGAGAGTGATTTCATCTCAGTGCTTCTCAAAATAGTGGAGACGCAGCCAGTCTGCTGGACACAGAGTCACGAAGGGGAGCAGATGAGGGCTCAGACCATCCTCTAGTTCAAGGAACCTTCAATGTGAAGCTGAAATCCCTCAAAACAACTGGAGAGAGGCCACTATAATTTAAGATCAACATTCAGACACTGAAGGACACAACTACACGAGAGGCCTTCACTAAAGATCAGATCAGAGCAAAGTCAGTGAGAGACACTACGCTGTATCAGTGAGGAAACCTGTGTGGAAGAACACCAATAAAAGTCCTAATCGTGGTGAGCTTTGTCATGCATCAGACTGTGGAGATTGATGAGACAGAAAAATGCTGTGCTGACCGATAGGATGACTCTAGATGATTTTGATTTCGCGGGTGAATGATTTGTGTTTAATGTTACGCAGACTGAAAGACTTGCAGGCGAATACCAACAAACTGGATGAAGAAATGGATAGCGAAGGAAGAGAGGACTCTATGCAGGTGAACATAGAGAATACAGACGGAGGTGATGAAGATAACCAATGAACCGCAACAGCAACAACAACCAACACTAATTACCATCAAAGGGAGAGATTTGACAGAAGTTACTTCCTTCCCTTATCTCACCAGACCGCATTGTTTCAACCACAGGCTGAAGGGAGGAGGACTTCGAGGCCAGCGAGAATCGGAAAGAGAAGATACATTTTCATCAATCTGAAGCCATCTTGGAAATCTTCTGCACTCCACAGCATAAACAACGAGATTCAGATTTTCAACACCAATGTCGAGTCAGTCGGTGCTTCTTTACGGGTCCGAAACTTGACGAGCGTGTCACGAAAAGAATTTCCAACAGTCTGTTGCAAACACTTATGAACAGCTGCCTTCACTGGCTCCATACTGAAGATCCAATGGCTGTTTGGCCAAGAAGAGTCAGCAACAAGAACCTCTGCAGTTGTACAAACCAACAGGCGAGAGCAGATCGGTCGACAAATATGTAGAGGGAAATGGAGATGGATCGGTTGGGCATGCATTGAGGAAAGCGTTGAATGGTATCACACGGAATGCAGGTCATCGCTCGAGTGGAATCCGAATGGGAAGCGACGAGTTGGTCGTCTTTGTGAGGGTAACATGGAGGAGATGGTGCGTCGGACAGCAGGCGATGAGAGATTATGGGCACTCATGGACCCTGCTAAAGAGGATGGTACAAAACAGAAGAACGTGTAGATGTGTTGTTGAAGTCCCACGTTCCACTTGGAATCCAAGGGAATAATAATAATAATGTACATAGTTAATGAAATATTGGTGGTCCAAAGGCATCCTCCCAGACACATCTGGTTTTTATGCGTTTCGTTTGAACTCAGCCATCATCCGTGTCTTTGTAACCCAGATTTGTTTGTTGTGTTGGGTGTTCTCGTATTTTGTAGTGGGTCCAGAGGTGAATTATCGCTAGTGTTTTGCTGGCTCTCATCGTCGTTTTTGGGCTGATGATATTATGAATATATGTGACCATCATTCAGAATATTTCTGGAAGTATTTTAACGCGAAGATGTAAATGGTGGCAGTTATAAATTAGAATAATTTTCAGGAGGGGTTCGATTGCTTTTGGAATTATGTGGTCACTTGTTTATTTCCAACTGCCCCTCCATGGAAGTTGATTTATTCTTGGGGTACCTGAAAAAAAATTGGAATAATTCTTACGGTATCGCAAAGCCCAGGGGACAACTGCTTGAGGCTGGTCACTCATGGACTGTCGGAACTGGCTTTTAGCTTGGGTGCCGTATTAGTAACTCACAGACAGCTGCAAACCAACGTAATTTAGGTCGGGATGTACAGCTTTTAGGGTCTAATTTATCTAACCTCCTCTCTTCAGAGTGGAGAGACAGGATAGCTGGCATTCTGCTTATCTGGGAGAAACGCCTTGCATCCGTGTTCCCCAGTAGTATGACTTTACCCACGAACCTCCCAGCATAGTATTAACAGAATCTTACACTATCCGGTAACTGCTTTTACTCTCATCGCTATCCTAACATTCTTCCTGGGATGATGGGGCATGTAGGAACATTTGTTCTAGCCAGTGTTGCTAGACCGACCACCACGTCATGGTAGCAAGTATCGGTCAGCGAAAATGATGAATTCAAATTCTCGATTGACAGACATTATTTGATTTCATGACTAATCACGAACTGCATTCATTTTGAGAATCATTGGAATGTGGGGTTTACTGCACAGCTGTCTCGTCACCGTTTGAAGCTATTCAGCAATACCCACCCATCACCACACTACAAATCGAATCTAGAAGCTCCAGATTACAAGTCAAGCTCGTGGACAACGCAGTCAGGGAGACGGGATCCAGTGGTCCATCAGTTCTAACGTCGGCTAATTCGTGATATACTAAGACCACCAGCTAATGCCATCTGCGAGTATATGTCCTTATGCTCAACTCGTAACTTGAATGTACTGGGCTCAATCTCTGGTGGGTTCGCTGGTGCATAATTCTGAAGAGGCTGCAATAGGCATTAAACAACTGTCCAGTACTCTATGCTTTTCTATGGCAGTCTAACATAAGTCAGCTCTCGATCAGCCTAGAAAATAATAACTGGTAACCATTTCTTAATGGACATATAATTCGCTGGTATTATGGGTGAAGAAGACTTTTAGAACCTCGTGCGGGTGGAACAGTCTATAAATTCACATACCTTCTGTTCCCTTTAACATAAAACGGCGCTAGTACAATTTTTATTCACATGTATTCACTGAAAATGTGTTGCAGATAAATACGTTAAGGCTTTGAAAGACACTCAATGGAATCCACTATGCAGGCAAGTTCATTTTAACAGAGAAAAGGAGATTCATGTTTTCCTGTGATCACTCAGATCTCATTGAGTTTGACAGCTTTCCTATGAGCAAACATAGGAAGGAAAGATTGGTTTCTGCAGCTCAGGGTTTCAGAGAACACTTCAAATTGGTTGTAAGTGTAGACAAATTTCACTAACTCATTCGACTCTGGAAATAGAAGTCCAAGGAAGCAGATCATGGAAACAGGTTATCAAGTTTGATTTAACACTCAATATTAATGTACATATAAAACAGTTTCGAGGATA